AGTGGGCCCCACCTCCTGCAAATCTTGAAACTCTTCTCCCCCGTTCTTCCCATTCCCCAGTTCCCAGTTCCTCATCTTGCCTAGCCTGCTTCATCAATCAATTCCTTCATCATCATGAAACAACAAACAAGATCCACAGAAAAAAAAAATTTTCTCTTTTTTTTTTTACTTTTTGCTCTTGGGTTCATTCGAACCCAGGCGACGTGGGTTCGTTCGAATCCAGGAGGACACCTGGGTTCCACGCTTGGGTTCGAACAAACCCAGGCGGCGTCCTGGGTTCGAAAGAACCCAGTAAACGTGTTGGGTTCCAAGGGGTAAAGAAAAGGAAAGAGAAGAAAGAAAAAAAAAAAAAAGAATTAAAAAATTTTTTTTTGACATTTTTTTTTTTCATGTCATCACTTTTTTTCATACATGGATCTGATGTGGCACGTTATTTTGACACATTATCAGCTTCAGTTAATTAACAGAACACGTCATTGGATTTTTAACGGAGGGACTAAATTGAGGTAAAAATGGTAAACAGTAGGGACCAAATCAGGGATTTTTTGAGTTGAGAGACTAAGTCGGGGGTCCATACAATAGTTGAGGGACCAAAATGGGGGTTTAACCAAAAATAAAAGTAAAAAAGCAAGAGAATGAATGATTATTCCTTGCATTCATTTTTGTTTGCAGCTAGCCATTTTTTTATTTTTTTCTTTTTTGGGTTTGATGAAGCCACTAACTGAAATTTAGAAGCCCAACTGGTAGAGCTCTTTGGGCTCCCGTGATTTATCCCTGAACGCAACCAATGGCAATGGACTTATAATCGGCTGAAAAACCAATGGGCTTTTAATGTTGCCCAAACAAAGGACTTATAATCTACATTTTTTGTAGTCTTTAATGGGAGCAATGATATGGCAATGGAGCTAAATGTCAAACGTCAATAAAACAATTTATATATTAATTATAAAAATAATAAATTTATTTAATTTAATTAATAAAATAGTTGATAATTATAATTATTAATTTAAAATAAATAAAATAGTTAATATTTATTAATTATTAAATTAAAATGAGTTAACATACTAATACTTTCACACACTTTGAAAGAAAAAAATAAATAAATTTTAATAGTTTTAACATTTTTTGTGGTAGCAATAACCGCACCCTCTTTAATTTGTTGTATTTTTTTTTTTCATTTTTTATGTTTTATTTTGTTTTCGTTGGAACTAACTTTATATTTCTAATTCAATTAGATTTTCTGTAATATTTAATCTATATTCTCTTCAAAATTTAACAAATAAAAAAGGGGAAAAAAAAACTAAAAACGGATCCAAGCAATCGGAAACTTAAAACTGTTTTTTTTTTTTTTTTAACACAGCAAAAATTGGAGAATTAACCAAAATCATATGGCATCTACATAAAATTCTTATCATTGATAAGAACAAATTAAAATAGAGAGCACAACTAAAGATAAAATCAAGAGCAAATCAAGTTCAAATACAGATTTAAAGAAAGACAGTGACCATAATGTACTATTTGGATTGAGGGAGACCAATGGAGAGGGATGGAGAGTGAAGGGGACGAATGGTAATTGAGGGAGAGGGAGGGGAGTCTATCTCCTTCCTTATGTTTGGATATGTAAAGAGCAAGAAGGGGAAGGAGATGGAGGAGGTTTGGATCCCCTCAACAACCCCTTGCAACTGTAGATTTCCAATCCCCCCAATTTGGGGGATTTGGGATGGATTTGGCAAAGGTTCAAATTTTGCCAACAAAAATTACAGTAATATCTCCTTTATCCATATTATTTAACATCTTTTGGTTCTTCTTCGACCTTAGTTATCAACATTAGCAGCCACTAAATTCAAGGTAAGGATATACCTGCTCAACTTCAATTTTGATTATTTTTTAGCTTTCACCATTCTCACACCAGCTTCGACCATTTTTAATTTACAATATAGCATCTATAATTGAAAATGAAATTGAATTAGAAAATAGAATTGCTAGCATTTTAGCTCACCGGCTGCTCTCGCTCTCTCTTTTGAAAACGAAAACAAGGAATTAGCTATTTTGATTCACATTTATTTATCTCATTTTTGTTTCCTGTTTTCAATTATGTTTCCCTTTAACTTCCTCTATGACAATTGATTAGAAAATGCTATTTTGTTTCATATTCACTGTTTAACGCTGTGATCATTCCATTAGAGGTTTGTATTGTTTTCTATGTGATTGGATTGTGTTTTGGCTTCACAATATTCTATACACCTAAAGCTTTCCAATGCACATCTATTGTTTAATGAAATGCATGAGTGAACTGGGTGCTTAGGGAGAGAAAAGAAAATGATGAAATTGCCATTTTGTTCGTGTTGGCAATTTAGCAGCTTTCAAAATTGCACAATTAGGACTATGTTTTGCTTGATTTATTTGGAAATCAAGATTTTTTTTTACCATTCTTAATGTTTCTGAGAAAAAATATCATAAATAAATATCATCACAAACCATTAAATTTAGAGACAATTAGTAAAAGCAGTGGACGTCTTCCCCATTTATCTGCTAAGAACACTGACACAGCAGTAGCTGGAATTTGTTTTGACACAGCAATAGCCTTCAACATTGATCCAGGTAATTCTAATATAAAAATTAATACTTTATATTTGTATATTGAAATGCCTTATATTTATATTTGTACATTGAGACTTTGATTATTCTTTCACTTTTTAGTTATACAATTGAATTTAAAATATATCATGACGTAGAATTTTAATTTTAATTTTATAAAGATAGATGGATGCCATGAGAGACATGCGTAGGAAGGTCATTGCTCATGTAATATGCTTAGTTGTTTAGAGGTGGTTTCTTCGAAGTCGACCAAAAAGGAAGCTTCTTGATGATAATATAATTAATGAGAGAGAGAACGAGTTCGACATGAAATAATGAACAAAATTGTGGGGAGTGATATAAGCCGTTATATCATAGGGATGGGTCCTAGAGCTTTTTTACAATTCTGTGACATACTTGAAAGGGAGGGAGGTCTTCAACCCACAAGGAGAGCAACTATTGAGGAACAAGTAGCTAAAACTCTTTATATTCTAGCTAAGAATGCCAAAAACCGTTCAATCCAATTTTGGTTTCGACGTTCTGGAGAAACTACTAGTTGACATTTTCATAGTGTGTTGAGAGCTATAATACCAGTTGAAGAAAAATTTATTAAACAACCAGATGGTTCACAAATCCCCTGTAGAGATAATGTCAAGTAATAGATTCTACCCATACTTTAAGAATTGTGTAGGTGCAATTGATAGAACACACATTCATGTAAAAGTCTCACCCTTAGATACCCTTAAATATCGTGGTAAAAAAGAGTATCTAACCCAAAATGTCTTAACTGCCTGTGCATTTGACTTAAAGTTCACCTATGTGTTAACAGGATGGGAAAGGACTGCCTCAAATTCTAGAATTATTAAGGATGCATTAAAAAGAGAAGATAAGCTTATCATTCCAGAGGAAAAATTTTACCTTGTTGATGCTAGGTTTATGATAAAAAGTGGCCTTATAACTCCTTATAGAGGAGTTCGCTACCATCTCAAAGAATATTCAAATAATTCTCCTCAAAATGCTAAAGAATTGTTTAATCTTAGGCATGCAACCTCATGTAATGCTATTGAAAGAGCATTTAGAGTTTTGAAAAGAAGATTTGAGATTTTAAGGGGCAGAACAGAATCATTCTATGGAGTGAGAACTCAAAATTTAATTATTTTAGCTTACTGCATTATTCACAATTTCTTAATGGGTGTGGATCTTGATGAAGAGCTTATAGCTAAGGTAGATATGGAATTGAGAAATCAAGAAAATTTGCAACAAACTCGCACTTCAAGAAAGGAAGAAGAAGATGCCAGCAGCGGGGAAATGTTGAGAGATGTTATTGCTGCTAATATGTGGCACAATTACAAAAAATGCTAGTTTACTTTTTGGTTTTTTAGATTTTCCTTTTTGTAATTTTTTTTGTTCTTTTGACTTGAATTAATATTTTTGTTCTTGAATTATTTGCTTTTATTTTTTTAATGTTATAAATAATAAATGTTCTTTATTATAAATTTTTACTGAATAAAGTTATCTAATAACTTCTTTTATTTAGGTATGGGTGGGAAGAAGAAAAATAGTAATATTGAAAATGCAAGTAAAGAAGGCAAATTAGTATGGACACCTATAATGGATGAGGCTCTTATGGATGCTTTCCTACATCAACATAATTTGAGCAATAGGGTAAATGGTTCCTTTACCACCAAAGCATATGAAAATATTGTTAATGAATTGAAAGAAAAA